AGCCATTGTCCCCGTTGTGTCCCCAACACCCACAGTGGGGTCGGCCCACTATTCATGGTGCATACTGGAGCAGGGAAAGGTATGTGACGATGAAGTTAAAGACATGCAATGTCCCATAGGAGCACAATGAAAAAGCGTTTGTGTGTTTGTCGACTAACCTTCACTTTCTGTCTCCTGATAATAAAAAATGCATCTCCCTTTTCAATCGCATTATGTCAATTGTGGGTTCCAGGAACAATTCAAACAACCCCCAAGTGTATTCACTAACCAATAATGAATGAAAATGAAATCTGAATACACAATATGGGTGTACACTGTGGCACTGTTTACAGTCTGCCTCTGTCATGTGTTTTACTGTAGCTACTGACCTGACTGTAAGTGAGTCTTATCAGCCACATGGTGTACAGACTCAGTTGTAACTAGATGCTTCTTTGTACCGGTGAGACGCTCTGTTAGTTCCTCAAAAGGAACAACAGGACTTCTCCATTAAAACCGCAACTGAACAGAGCTTCCTGTCCATTGAAGGGGGGGGGGGTATAAGTCTCTGCAATCCAAAGATAACACTCTAACTTGACCCCTGGGACTCTCAGAGGTGAGAAACAAGTCAGGAAGAGGATGCAGAGAGAATAAACAACCTAGGAAAAGTTACTTCTGTGTTTACATTTTCATTTCACCTCATCCTGCACCTCTCACTTACAGCTTGATTTAGGCAGAGATGTTGTGGTGTTTATCTAATTTATAATGATTTGAAATGCCACGCGCTCCCTTAAAAAACCCTCAAAGATTAGGTTGTTTTGCTTCACCTGCTTTGCCGGTGTAAGCAAGAAAGTCTGATAAGCAGTGATTTCATTATAAGGTGCTGGAGTAGCATCAATATGCGTGTTGAGTGCTAATTCTGTCCTTTTCCATCCGCGTGGCTGTGGCGGATATTTCTGCAGGGCAGCTAATTCAACTGAGGCAAATCCATCGCCTGACAATGATCAACTTTATTGCAGTCTTTTTTTCCCCACAGCCATGCAAATTGAATCTGACACTTCCTAATGGCGCGACACTAAGGGAGTGCACATGGTGTCTTTGAGTGTGCCCACCCCCCCCCCCCCCCATCTCTCTTTTAGTGTGGTCTCATCAACTGTGCTGGATCAGGATCACATCTGAACGTACGAGTCACTTTAAAAATAAGAGAAACCTCAGCACAAAAGGCACTTTTTTTTTAGTTTACATCTTACCATATCTGCATGTGGCCCCTGATAGGAGCGTAGCTTGCAGCACAGGAGATCCTTGCGGTAAATAATGGACAGCAGCACCACAATCACCACAAAGAACACCAGAGAAGAGACTGTGAGCAAATCAAGAGAGAAGGACATGTTTGTTAATCAATGTCGAACAGACAGACATTGTGTTAGTGTGTTTTTATGGCTGTGAAACTTGTAAAAGAACAGTTTTGTCCTTTGAACAGTTCACATCTGTGAAGTTGAGTCATATGAAGAGTCTGATTGACAGTCTGTCTCTATAATGTGAACACTTACAGGTGTAATTGATGTCCTTTGTGCTACCTGTCCATCAAAAACAATCACAGCTAATTATGTGTTAGAGATGATTGCAATATGTGACAGTCAAAGTAGCTGATATCTATAAAAAAGAAACGATCTAGTACAACCCTTATCATACTGCTGCAGTAAGTGCAAATACAAAGGAAGTAGAACAATTATCCTGACAGATGTTTTTCAAGCAAAATCTGATTTATTTTGAATATTTTTGACAGTTTAAAGGTTTTACTTACATGATGTAGCAACCACTGTGAGTTGATCCGATGTCAGCTGTGAGGAGGGCATGGTGGGACTTTCAGTTGTGGACATTTCTTCTGTGTAAACTGTAAGTGTTGCCTTCACAAATCCTCCTGAACTCATAAGGTTCAACACAAAGCCTCTCATCTTATTTATCAGAGAAAGAAACGGAGACCAGCTCTGTTGCTCCTCTTCATTGTCTGCTCGCTCCCGGACAGGGTCACATGCGCTCTCTGCAAGTCCGATCAAACTCTCCACCCGGTAAACATGCCACAGTGTGTGTGTGTGTGTGTGTATAGTGTGTGTGTCAAGGCGAAATTACGCCCTCTTTCCCCAACGCGTGACGTCGCTCTGGCTGCGCGCTCGGCACTTTGGTTTATGGACAGCAGGCTGCAGCACACACAAGTGCCAACAGATTTATTATCAAGGCTCCTTAAAACAGCAATTTGACATGCAGTTATCCAAGAAGTACTCACATACTTTACTTAAGTTGAAGTAGAAATACCAACTGTAAAAAAAAAAGTCGAAACAAGTTCAAAATCATACAAAAGTAGTCAAAATATGCTTAAAGTATCAAAAGTAAAAGTATTAGTTATAAGTAATGGCCCTTTACAGAAACATGTTTATTTATACACTGGATTATGCATTATGCATGTGTCCCTCCCAGCTGGTAAGAGTGGAGCTCAATTGAATTCATAAAAGGAACATCCCTGTTTCAATTGTTGTAGTATGAGTGTGTCTGTCATTCAATAAAAACATTAGTCAAACACGTAAATACATTGTATACCAATGCTAGTTATCTTTAACAATAACAACATAGTTTATTCATTCGTTTTGTATTATTTTATAATCTGAATCGTTAAAGTCACTATTAAATCTGTCAAATCAAATCAAACCAACATTTGAATGTATTTACATAGCACTTTTCATATACAAAAAATACTCATTGTGCCAAAACCAAACACATAGACAATTTAGACAAAATAAAAACAACGGAAAAACAAGCAGCTTTGTGATGAAAAAGAACACTTAATACCAGGACTGAATAAACAGAAACAAAAATTATAATAAAAAGGAATAAGAATAAAATGTCAGATAAATGCAATATTATTGGCTACCAAAAGTGGAGTAAAATGAAATAGCATAACATTTAACACTAGAACCGCCAGAGGTCGCTGTATACCTAAAACCGCCAACGGGTAAAATGTACCCGCTATTGATTTTCAAGGTACAATGTTCTTTTATTTATCATACAGAACAGTGAGTTTTGATCGCACAGGGATGACATTTATACCAATATAATCTGTGGACTCTCAGCTTTTCAAATGATATAGTTTGTGCAGATAGCATGAAGTATAACATATCGCTAAGAGTGCTGATTTAAACGCTTGGTGTTAGATTTGTGTTTTGTTTAGGTACAAATCTCTCTATCTCTCTCTCTATCTATTTATAACTATCTACCGATCTATCTGTAATGTTCTGTTCTATGTTCATATAATTGTCTACATAAACAGACGACGCGACTACTTCTCTCATTCCGAGTGTCCATCTTTATTCAACTGGCACGTAACCTGCACACATGCATTACGTCCTCAACGTGAGCTCAGTCATCCAAGATCTTGTATTCTCCAAGATGTTACACTATCTATAACTATCTATCTGTCTATCTCTCTCTATCCATATATCTATCTATCTATCTCTCTCAATCTATCTCTCTATCTATAAGGAACCGCAGTAGACAAAAGGCGTTGCTATAGCAACACGTCATGTTTACGCTATGAGGTAAATATTACCCGCTGGCCGATATAGGTATAAATGGCTTTTTTTTGGGCGGATTTTTCAATCTGACTTCATATTGACAATTGTTAACAACAGAGGGTGCTACATAACACACTTTCAGGAAAAGTCACGGATTGGGAGACTTTAATATGTTATTGAAAAAAAGTTACATACAATCAAAAAAGAGCTGCGGGTAAAATGTACCCGTTGGCGGTTCTAGTATTAATTATGTATTTAAAGTACAAGTATCAGAACATTGTACTTAAGTACAGTACTTTAGCACTGAACACATGTTTTACAGCCAGGTTACACATATTTCAAATAATGTTCATACAATATGCCTTACTTGCTGTTTCCTCCCTGTCTCGTCTGCTCAGTGGCTTCCAGACCAGAGCATGCCAGAGCTGGAGACCCGTTACCGTGGGGATCCCGTCCTGAGATGATTTATAAGCAGACAAAGAGACAAAAATGTAGCATTAGTATTCATGATTGGGAACTATGGCCGACACATTTTTCAACTTAAAATGCCAGCTGACAACTTTTAAATGTTTGCTGCAATATTATAGGCCTTATAATAATACTACTAATAATAATAATAATAATAATCATAATCATATTAAAACCATTTTTGTAATGTAAAGTGTTGCAGATCTACCCTAACATTTGAGGACACGACATGGGATTATTTTAATTTTCATTAGAAGTGGTCATGACCTTGGTTTTTAACACAATCAAATTGTAAAGCATTAATTAAGATGCTGATCATGTAAGAAGGGGGTTACTCATACATGATGAAAAAATATAGCCTTTTTAAGTAAATAATACAAGTTATGTCTGGAACAATATAGGATTTTAGCACAGATCAAGATAAAAAGAAAACCTCACAATATGTTGATGGTGGGGAATTTCCATTATCCTGATTATACTCACAAGAGTTACTTGTAAATGTTGTCAAGCTCACTGTTAGAGGTATACAAATAAACATTAACTTTTGGAATCAACTTGAAGTGTTTTTAAAATTCATTTATGGGTCTCCAAAACTATCCTGTTAAAAAAAAAAACATATCAAAGTGCTATTTATTTAGTTAATTATAGTACGTTATAGTTAGTTTAGTAACTAAGTAATTAGTAATGTTATTGTTTCTAGGTAGATCTTTATATAGGAACAATAAGACAATTACGTTTTGTCTCTATTTAGCAAATCCACTGGCATTTTGCTCACATGACACGGTATGTATTATTATTATTATTATACATGAATATAACATTCATTTTCTTTGCAGGCGTCCCTTCATCCAAACAACAACATAGACATGATGACTTTCTAATTTCGTATAAGAAATACACAATATAAAGCCAGCTAATTACAAGTTTTATTTTGAAGTGAAATTTTGCAGCAACCTGAGGATGGCGAGCGACACCGCGTGCACGCGCAGTTCAGAATGTGCCGTGCACGCGCTCCCCGTCCAACGGGAGTTGAAAAAATGGTGGCCAGCGCTCGAGTTCAGAAGCTGCTCCGACGATACAAACTAGCGATAGCCGCCGCGTTAACTATCCTCCTGGTCCAGGGGCTTGTGGTATGGAGTCTGAGAAGTCTGGAAGAGGGCGAGGCAGAGGTGAGTCTGTCCGGGGATTTCTGACACGACACTGATATGGTTGGATTTGTAATTGTAGCCGTTAGCGCTTAGCCTAGCTTCCCTATGTGTTATGATACGGTAACGATTAGCATGTTCTAGCTAATTTAGCAGTTCGGGAACAGCGCCGCTATTCCGGATTCGGGATTCCGAACTGGTTCCCCAATCAACTGGTTTACAGAGGTGGGGGGCGTGGCCTTCGACTGAAATACACATTTTGATCGCTTCTTCTGTCGTTTACATACATCTTTTGGTATACTTCAGACAGCCTCCAAGTGAAGCACACGTTGTTTACTCAGAGTTTGAAAGCAGCGTGGAGAAGTCTTCAGCTGTGAACTGTAAACTGTGATCCTCTCAGGTAAACATCCGCCCAGGTTAAACTGTGTTACGATTTCTGTGGCTATCTACCAGCGATCATGTTTAATATGAAACACACACATGTATCCCTTATAAAAACAGTATTCTGCAGCACTCATCCAGATAAGATGTGACTGTTAACTCGTTTTGCAAAGATAGCAGCAGAAATGTCATTGGACTTAGACTTTAAAATGCTGATGGGTCATTAATGTTGGTCTCGGCAAACAATATTAGGAATCCTCTATTCAAACATAATATTCAGTGTCCATCGACATGAAAATAACAAAAAAGTTCATGCTGGACTCAAACCCGAGTCCCAACAGCACAAATCACTCGGGCCATGCGCGTTACTGGAGCGCCACGGATCTACACAAAGTATTACACCACCACACTTTAATGTCTTCGATGAACCTTGTTAAAAAGTTCCAGAAAGATGCAACCCGACCATCATTTATAATGTGAGCGGATGTATCTACACTTCTAATATACATATTATAGTAGGCATTTGGATACAAGCGTCAGGTAAATGGAATGTCATGTAATGTAATTGACGTGAGTGTTTTGAACACACTTATTTAATTTATGATTCTCCATAAGGTGCCATGTTGAGTTGTGGCGCACTCATAACGCGCAGGACTTGCGTGATTTTTGCTGTTGGGACTCGGGTTTCAGTCCAGCTTGAACTTTTTTGTTATTTTCATGTCGATGGACACTGAATTATTCCTAATATTGTTTGCCGAGACCAACATTAATGACCCATCAGCATTTTAAAGTCTAAGTCCCTGCACATGCAGCAATGACATTTCTGCTGCTATCTTTGCAAAACGAGTTAACAGTCACATGTTATCTGGATGAGTGCTGCAGAATACTGTTTTTATAAGGGATACATGTGTGTGTAGTCTTTCATATTAAACATGATCGCTGGTAGATAGCCACAGAAGTCGTAACACAGTTTAAGCTTGGGGGGTCCCATTTTTCCCTGGGCGGATGTTTACCTGAGAGGATCACAGCTGAAGACTTCTCCACGCTGCTTTCAAACTGTGAGTAAACAACGTGTGCTTCACTTGGAGGCTGTCTGAAGGTGTACACAGGTCTCAGATGGACTTGGTATCACATTAGGAACGATATTCAGTAATTAGTCTGGCAACAATAGCTGGTTTAAATGATTTATTGGAGCTTGCAACGTTTTGAACAGACATCCCCAGTCAACTCGTTTTTCTTTTTGTAGTCCCCGCTGTTCGCGTCCGGATATCTCCATTGTAACCACAACCTCACACACTGGTACTGAATGTGCATCAAAGTGTTCCTATCCAGCCAAATATACCAAAAGATGTATGTAAACGACAGAAGAAGCGATCGAAATGTGTATTTCAGTCGAAGGCCACCTCTGTAAACCAGTTGATCGGGGAACCAGTTAATCCAGAACACCGCTCCGAAACATTTCAGTACAACTGGACCAGCCCTGTGTATCTGTCTTTATGTATTTTGTGTATACATGTCTATATGTCTGTTTGTCACAGAGTACCAGACGTATACAGCACTGTTTCCCAGGTTACATGCTCATATCTAAGAAATTAACGGTATTGATAGCAGGGGTTGAAAGTAACTAAGTACATTTTATTCAAGTATTACTTAAGTACTTTATTGACATATTTGTACTTGTATGTAATGCTCCTTTATACTTCTACTACACACAATTTCATTGGCAATTATTGTACTTTTTACTCCACTCACAGTTGCTTTGTACTTAAAAACACATGATATGCTGATATTAGTATAAAGCAGTACTACTAATCTACACAGTATTTCAAGCATCTACATTTGGTCGACTCTACATGAAGAGAATACGACACTAACATCCTGCTACTTGAATGTATACAAACAAGATACAATAATAACCATAATTCTCCACACTGGTGTTTGCCACTACATTTCATTTTGATGGACAGCTTCACTAAACAGACACACCATTCGTTAACATGGGAGTTTAAAGGAGGTCTATGACGTGATGCAACCTTTTGAGAGCATGTGATTCGGTTATGATTCATTGATCATAAACAGATCATCAACATGAACTGGCTTACATTCGTCATATAGCTCTCCCAAGATACTCAGCATCTGTTTTACTGTTTGTTTATTTTATATACACCAGAGGCCTTTCTGAAATGTACTAAGCTTTGAGTCAAACTAGGGATGCTCGATTATGGCAAAAATCATAATCTCGATTATTTGGGTCAATAATTGATATCAAGATTATTAAAAACGATTACCCATTTACTTTGAAAACATCAATTTATTGGAGAATTTTGTTTTGAACAGTATGTTTTTATCAGTTGATTACCCTGAACTTTAAGTATAATTAAACTGAAAAAACAATAATTATAAAAAAAAAAAAAAAAAAAGATTAATAAAAAAAAAATCGTTTTATTTCGATTACATTGTTTTCGTAATCGTTGCAAGCCATAATTGTAATTGCGATTTAAAATACGATTAATTGAGCAGCCCTAAGTCATACCCAGATACTAAAAGTAGGGGAATATCCTAGGGATAAAGTCTACAGTTGAGCAAAGAGTTGCCTTTACTTCTTACTGAAATCATGAAACCTGTCCCCTGTGTGAAGCTTATCTCTGGGTCTCCCGTGCACACCTGGACTTACTACCCTGAGGCAGTACCTGTTCCCTTTCCCCCCTCCAAATGAGGTCAAATCAGTTTCTTAACAGATGTGTGACCCGTTGAGGAACTGTGCGCGTTCAGGAGTAATGCACTCTGATCCTGATAGAGTCGCAGGAATGCAAGCTGAAACCTGAGTTGGGAAATGTGCCGTCTCCCTATCATGATATGAAAAGCGGCGATGTGTACAATGTTCCTCCCGACGTACATAGATTTCAGATCTGTGCCTGGAGGGAAGAGAAGGAAGCAGATGTCGATGCGGTGGCTCCACTGGAGGAAGAAGTTTGACCCAGAGAGGGAAAAGAGGAATCGGTAGTGACAATGATGTCGACCAATTCACTTAACTGTGAGCTAAACCCTTAACATAAAGCTTATGCTCAGTAAATGACTGATGCAACCTTGGTGAAGTAATCCATTTCCGCTTGGACGCACTTTAACGTCACATTGTGGTGGAACGGGAAGTTTGACATGTCATTCATCTTATTGGAGACCAATGTTTCTTGTGATTTAAAATCCCCCGTTTGCATTATCCGCCTCTAGGCAAGTCATCAAGCTCATCACTAGCTTAAACATGCTCGAGCAGAGAGAGAGAGAGATATCTGTAGCTCACCTGTAAAGGTGCTGACATAGAACTTTCTAATCCTCAACACATAGTATTTGCTTTCCAACGCTTCAGGTCAAAGAAAAAAACCTGCACTGATTTTATTATTAATTCAACTTTCAATTTAGCTTCGTTTGAATAATTGAAAGTTGTAAATGGGTCTCATTCATTCCTAATGTGAACGCTGTGACACTGATGCTCAGCGCACATGTCAGCCTGACATGTTGGCAGACATCTATGCAAATGTCAGCGCATTCTGTGTTTGCAGGATCACATTTCAGGCTTGAAGAATGCATAATAATCATCACTTCAATTTTCAATTTCAATTTTCAATCATTTCCATTTTCATAATTTCACCACCTTCAAAAAACTTACAAAAACTCACCTCTTCAATCTGGCTTTTAATGTGTGATTGTTTTTCTATTATTTGACTTTAACTTTAACTATATATTTATTTGTTGTTCCTTTATTTTATTTTATCTTCACTATATCTGTAAAGCGTCTTTGAGCACCTGTAAAAGCGCTAACAAATTAAATCTATTATTATTATCATCGCTCAACAGTGCATGTTCAGTCGGGGAGTCTTTCCAATGTGGGTAACATGAGCGAGACTCCGTGGATTCCTCCGTGCTCTTTGGTCTCTGCGTTTACTCGCATCTGCTCTAATCAGCGGCTCGCTGAGCACGTGTGAACACAGCCGCGTGCCTTCATATTTAAGGCCCTCGTACAGAAGGGGGAAAAGATTGTGAGGACAGAAGAAGAAGACGACGAGACTGTCATCTTTGTGTCACCCTCTGCTTGGATGTGCCATCCTGCAGAGCTGAGCCCGCGCGGCTGTTTCCTGCTTCAGCAGATGGCGGCGCTGATATGGTTTCACTCCACTTTAATTGGAAAGTAAAGAGGCGGCCTGGCTTGCCTTTGAATCAATAGGTTTTTTTTTGACATGATGGTTAATTAAAAGCTGTGAAAACGAGTGATAAGGGAAATTGAAACATTAGCCCCCGCCGCATGCAACGTCTTCTGTGCGAGAACATTTAGTGCAGCCTAAAAGTGTCTTGACAATTTAAGCTAGCATAAGGCATTGACGATGTTTTCATTAATGGAACAGCTATGAGCCGCCATAGAAAGAAGACATCCCACCACTGCTGGAGAAGATGTGAAATAGTCTTCAGGACTTTGAGAACAAAAGTTTTTATCATAATTATTGGGTTTCTTTGACAGAAATCTGAATTGTCTCATAAAGGACACTCAAGCTCTTTTCAGGTGACATTAAGAACATCAGATTCCTGCCGAAAGCTTACAATAACCAGGTTCCTCAAGTGCATGTAAACTCACTGAAAGAGGCTTGCACCGCAATGACTGGTATGCAACTGGGCTCCACAATGCCTCTCACTGTAATGGGTTTGAGAGTGCGCTGTGTTGGTTGGCAGCTGGTTTATTGCCACTATTTAATCTGGCTCCCTGTCCCACCACGCAGCACCGGTCCCCCTCCTGTTCCCACCGTCTACGGGCTGTCGCCATGCCAGTGGCGTGAAGCGGACTCGCCTGCGTTCCGCTATATCGTCTGACAGAGGCAGAAAGCTCTCAGCCCACTCACTCTCTTTCTTCCTTTTCTCCAAGTGCTCATTTTGAAGAGCCTTTTGTGTGATCCAGTAATCTACTGTGCCAAGGCTGTGATGCTGTTTGGCTAGCAGATTTAAAAAAAGGCTTAAGCACTGCGTTTCTTTTCAAATCCTGCCTTCCATTTCTGTAGGTGTGATATGAGCTCCTCCAGTAAGACGGATTCTCTGTACTCTTGCATTCAAATTGTATGATACTCTTAGACATGGAAACTTTGGTATTTAAGAAACCAAGATGAATGATGGTGGTGCATCTGACACCGTGTCCTCCCGCCATCAACCTGCCACTAAACTGAAATGTTTATAAAAGGTACATTCTCTAGCTTTTATTTATATTGACTTCAATTTTCTAAAGAAGGAACCTATTTTATAAAACATCCTTGCTTATTTTCACTGAACCATAACTATAGGAACGCTTTCTCGACTTAAAGTCTCATTCGGGATGTTACAGCCAAGACATCCAGTTATTTGACACCTGACTTTTTTGTCCTCAAAGCAGATGCATGTAAGAGGATCATGTTGTGACATTAATGGAGTTCATTAATAACAGTTCCAGAGGAGAGTTTTGAGATTTTAAATGTCATGCACGAATCATGAAGTCATCATAAAATGCTTTGATTTATCATATTTCAATACACTGTGTGTGTGTGTGTGTGTGTGTGTTGTGTGTGTGTGTGTGTGTGTGTGTGTGTGTGTGTGTGTGTGTGTGTGTGTGTGTGTGTGTGTGTGTGTGTGTGTGTGTGTGTGTGTGTGTGTGTGTGTGTGTGTGTGTGTGTGTGTGTGTGTGTGTGTGTGTGTGTGTGTGTGTGTGTGTGTGTGTGTGTGTGGTGTGTGTGTGTGTGTGTGTGTGTGTGTGTGTGTGTGTGTGTGTGTGTGTGTGTGTGTGTGTGTGTGTGTGTGTGTGTGTGTGTGTGTGTGTGTGTGTGTGTGTGTGTGTGTGTGGTGTGTGTGTGTGTGTGTGTGTGTGTGTGTGTGTGTGTGTGTGTGTGTGTGTGTGTGTGTGTGTGTGTGTGTGTGTGTGTGTGTGTGTGTGTGTGTGGGTGTGTGTGTGTGTGTGTGTGTGTGTGTGTGTGTGTGTGTGTGTGTGTGTGTGTGTGTGTGTGTGTGTGTGTGTGTGTGGTGTGTGTGTGTGTGTGTGTGTGTGTGTGTGTGTGTGTGTGTGTGTGTGTGTGTACCTTTTTGAACATTAAAGAATGTCAACATGTCACAATAGGACACACACACACACACACACACAGAGGCTCAGCTAAAAATAACCCAGATCAGAGAAATGAAGTAAACACATCCTTCCCTCCAGGGCTGTTGTCGTGTTATTGGTTTACCTAACTTCCTCCCTGGATGTGAATCGACGCCTCCTCCCAGTAGTGTTTGTCCTAGATGTTATTAAAGCAATACATCTGGATTTGAAATGCATTTTTATTTTATTCTTCTCTCTCTCTTCAGAAAAATACACGGCGGTCTAAGCTGCCTGACCACAACAGCCAGGACCCCAAGAGAGACCCGGCTCTTTGGGTGAAGCAGAACTCTTTGTCGGGGCGGGGCCGATGGAGCGGCCGGTCGGAGAGGACGGGGGGCACGGCCGCCAGCGCACTGAGGAGGGGAACCAACCGCAGAGGAGAGAAGCCCAGCGTCAGGGTGAAGGCTCATCAGAACCGGGGGGTAACGGGACCCGGGCTAGAACACGCAGTCCATGACCCGTCCAGCAGCCGTAACTTCAGCGAGACCAGAGGAGGCGCAGACGGGGTGGCGAAGGTTCCGGCCGCCGCCATGCTCGGGGAGCCGGGCAGCGTGGACGGGGCGCACCAGCCCAGCAGCGACTTTGTGCCCAAATGTCACATCACGGGCAAGGACGCGCTGTCCGCCCTGCATCGCGCCGGGTCGCAGCAGTGCCGGCAGGAGATCGCCAACATCGTGTGTCAGCATCATGCCGGGGAGCTCATGCCAGGCGCACTCCCTCAGTTCTGCCCTCAGCTCGGTAAGAACTTCTGAACAGATAACGCTTGAGGTCCAGACAGAATACTTAATACATTTTTACCCTCTGAGAGATTTACAATCAAAATACTTCTCAATAGCTAATTTTCTTGTTCACATTCTCTGAATTCTGTAGTTTGTTTTCCAAATCTTGTTAGAAGCAACCAAGAAACTGTAACGTGTATTTATATTCTTAATACATTAAATAGGGTATAGGGATCGCATTGAGAACAAACAATAGACACACACCTCTGGTTTGTTCATCTGTGGGAATCTTTGTTCAAGGAAAAACTATAGGATGGAAACAAGGGCAAAACAAAGCTATACTTTTCACATATTTGCTTTTATTCAACCTCGATTGAACAGTCTTTCTCAGCACCTAACATATTATTCTTCAAAGCGCTCCACATCCCACAGTCAGTCCTTTTATGTCTCAACCCTCTTTCCACAGGTATATCTAATCCGGTGCAGTCCGTTGGCGAGCTGGACAACAGCCTGCTCAAAGTGGAGAACCCGGTCAGAGTGGCGTTCGTTCTGATGGTCCACGGCCGCGCTGTGCGGCAGCTCAAGCGCCTCATCAAAGCCATATATCACCAAGACCACTTCTACTACATCCATGTGGACAAGGTAAGCCTGCTCTAGTCTGGTTGTGGTCATTTAACATCTTACCAAGGACAACAGTTGAAAATTAGCCTGCTGGCTAATACTGGCTCATTTACAGCAATGTGGATTAATGTGCACTGTCCTTTAATTAAATAAACAAACAAACAAAAGGACCTCACAGTGCCACTGCATTATATCAAATAAGCTTACTGACAAAGCATTATATGTTTTATTTTAAAACTTCAAAATAAAAATCAGTATTCAATAGTCCATATTCCCCAAAAAAAATCACCTTTTATTGAAGTTGAGGATTTTGTTTTTTAAATGTTATTACGTCGTGTTTTATAACAGCTCCATTTTGAAAAAGAAATAGAAGCTTGTATAAAAAATGTGGTACAGACCCGCCTGAAAAAATGTTGACTAGCTGACAGTATTGTTAATTTATACTTAGACGACACATTGGAGGGTGCAATTGGGAACCGGCTTGCTTGGAGCGGACTAGACTGAGCTCTCAAAAGCTTTTACCGGCTAGGTCTTCTTGCATTATGAAGGTTGAATATATCCCGTGGGTCTCACAGTGTGGTAAAGGGGATTAGCCTGGATAGAGTAAAGTGTGGTTATTCTTAGCGGAGGAAAGAGTGTGCTATCATGTGCAGCTAGAAGACTAACGGCTGAGTGGTGATTCTGAGGCTCAGACCTCAGGTGAGTTCAGCGCAGAGAAACACAGACACCTGTCGACAGTGCACCTGTGCAGCCGGAAAGGTTGCTCCTTCCCGGGGAGTTGCTCTGTTCTGCTGCCAAGACGGAGAGAGGCTTACCAGAGGCAGTGATGAATAAGTCCGCACCACAGAAACAACCTCAGACAACCTCACCTCATTTCTCTCTGAGGGCCAGCAGAGAGATGAGGCTGTAAAGCAGGGCAGAACGTACTGGAGGCAGTGGACCTCACGTGAGGGCTGTCACGCTGGTGTCTCCTTTATTAACACACCCACAGATTATTGCAGTGACTTTCTGGTCTAATTTAAGAGTGGTCAGCAAGTGTCACTCTTTATTCATCACGGGTCGGAGACAGTGACACATTGTTTGTGCTTCACTGAACAAAACGATCTGACTTCATGTTGCTGAACAAAGTTTATTTTTCTCTTAAATTGCTCATTTATCGCTTCAGGGACTTTTTAAGTCGTACTCATTTGGAAAAGTGGCTGCTTGTTCATTACTTTGTACTTAATCAAATGTAGATCTAAAGGGACGTTTATAAAGGGTATTTCCAACCTGTCTAATCCTCTAATCTAAACCTATGCAACCTTCAGGCAGAAACCTATTTCATTGTTGTTATTCATTATTCTAGAGCAGTGCTTCTCAAAGTGTGGTCCGCGGACCACTGGTGGTCCGTGAGCGCCCCCTAGTGGTCCGTGAGTATATTGGTACAATTTCACATTTTAAATAAATTAATAAATTAAAGTTTTACGCACTCTCGCGGGAATATTTCCGCAATGGAGCGAGCTTAAGTTTCACTTTCGATGGTATGATATAGCCCAGCGCAACACCTTCATCACACATGTTGCCACTTGTTTGTACCATTTTCAGGCGATTTGTAATCTGTTCTAGAAAAACGATGTGAATTTGGATATTTGTGGAGTTAGGTGGTCCGCGAGTGTTTTTTTATTGGTTAAGTGGTCCTTGGTATCAAAAAGTTTGAGAAACACTGTTCTAGAGCAGTGGTTCTCAACTGGTCAGGCCTCGGGACCCACTTTTTCCTTTGTCAATAAATCGCGACCCGAAGGTTTGAACCACTCAAATCTATTCAACAAAAAATCGTGCTGTAATATATATATATATATATATATATATATATATATGCTTTTCAGCATACGATATTAATGAAAGTGAAGCACAGTGCATACATCCCTTCACAGAACTAAAGAATGCTTTTAAAAAAGGTTTAATGAGAGGATGGAATCAAAGCTGAACTGTCTAACACAAAAAGGCACACATGCTGAAAACCCAAGATTTTTAGAAATACTAACAGATAAACTACGCATTCTGGTACTCTGAGAAGAAAATAGATACATCTATTACTTCCCGACATATTAATAATATGTTCTGCCATTGTTTGTGTTTCACTTTGTTCTGAAGCTGAACTTGCTGCTCCTCACAGAGAGAAGAGCAAAGAGGAGAGAGTCTGTGTGAATTACGTAAGGGTAGATAGCCCCCATTGTTCTGTGACCTGTCAATCATCAAACCGGGGGTCATATTTCATCACGTGTTCATTTTGATCTGAAGTTGTACCCATGGATGTATAAAGAATAGTTGTACTGCAAAGTTATTCTCCCTGGGGACTTCCCAAAGCTAGTTTCTAAAAGCCCAACTCAATGTTTTTAAATGTGTCGTCAATCCAAAACACATATGTTCAGTTGTTATATGACATTAATCAAAGAAAAGCAGGACTCCTTATATTTTAATTGGGTAGAAACTTTAATTATTTGGAAACATTTTTACAAACACTTTTATAATTGATGGAATATGAAAACATTTAACTTGTAACTGCATAACGCTCGACTTAACTCTTTGACCTTTCTCGTTCCTCCCCTCTTTAATCTCAGTTCTGTCTAACTGTTGCCATTTCAGAAGAAAATATGATGCAAAGCTAAACTAACCATCACAATGTTCTCTATCCATCGTCATGGTGTCCCACAAGTCGCAGCATCACTGTTCTTCTGCATAGATCAAAGTCTCTTTCAACTCGAGCCAGAATTGTGTGGCGGTCTTGTCACAGCTGAATACCTGCGGGAACAGCATTACACTTGTGCTGCAGAGAGAGACACAGTGTTCCCTCATTTCAACTGCTCAACCTTTTGCTTTGAATTCTCCAGCGCTCGGGCTACCTGCATCGGGAGGTGCTGCAGATCGCCCAGCAGTACCCCAACATCCGCACCACGCCCTGGAGGATGGTCACCATCTGGGGAGGGGCCAGCCTCCTGAAGGCCTACCTGCGCAGCATGCAGGACCTGCTCAACATGCTGGACTGGAAGTGGGACTTCTTCATCAATCTGAGCGCTACTGATTTCCCCACCAGGTCAGCAGAGTAACAGCGCCGTGTTAGTGTGGAGGAATGGAGTCACAGAGTGTTGAGAGTAGAGTCTCCCAACGGCACATAAGATGATTGCTAGTGTTTAACCACGGGTGAATTATGTCCTTAGAGTCCACAACTTAGTTATGTGACTTCCTTAGTTCTCACGTACCCTGCATAGCTTTATGCTTTTGGAGTTGAACCTCAATGTGGTTAAAGATTGGCCCCAACTCCACAAAAATATCTCCAGTGCAAATACTTGTTTTCTGCATCCTGTCTTGACAATATTTCCAGTTTGTGTTCAGTGGATATCAGAGTTGCCTTTTTCATGGTGGCTTAAATCTTTCAATACTGCATGGACATTTGATTCCTTCGCAGACTGACTGTAACATGAGCAGCTGCCATGGCATATGCTTGATAAAAGGAATGGTCTGGTAGCAGCATTAAATGGATTGTTTTATTCACTGAATCACAGAGCTGGCAGTAAATATTCCTCTTTGTTGCTCTTCAGCTTTTGCTGGATTTCTGGGGCTGCTATGATTGGTTGGATGCACCCAGACAATGCTCTGTCAACCACATCCTGTCCACAGTGGCTCATTTCATTTTTCCTTTTCCATCAACACAATGTTACAGTGTTTGTTCAAATCGATTCTGTTGCAATAGCTGCTATTTATAAAATGTTAGTTTATATAGAGTATATACGACAATAAAGCTATGTTAATTGTCACGTCACGTCGTGTCACGTGACTTGAATTTTGAATTGAGCCGTCCCTTATAGATACTATCTCTTTACGTATTAGTGATGGGAATTCCGGCTCTCTTTAGTGAGCCGGATCATTTGGCTCGGCTCACTTATGGCGCATTTCCACTGCAGCGGGTAGCCCCGTTTAAGCGTCCTTAACCGTCCTCAAGCGGCCAGGCCAGTTTTTGGTGGCCTTTCCATATAGCGTAGTACCGGCTAGCGGGTACTTTTTCCCTCTTTTTCCGGCCCCATAAAATCGTGGTTCCCTCAGACCAGGGCCAGGGCTGAACTAGTGACGTCAACACTCTCGACTGCTGATTGGTCAGAGAGAATCGTCACAAGATCGCGCGCGAGTTCATCCCTAGCGGCGCAGATATATCTAGAAGCAAGCGTGCAGCATTTTTACCAGCATTTTTTCTTCATTTTACCAGTTCACCACGGAGCCTCAGTTTTGCCGCTGCGAGGCTCCGGCGCTCGCAGTTCACACGAGCGCTCCACTAGCACCCCCCGTCAAGGCTCGCCGGCAGTACACTTTCCGTCACAGGAACACGCTTTGCTGGCGGCGAAAAGAATCCCACCAGACTCCTTTGCCCCTCCAACAGAGGGATGTCCTTGTCCTTTTTCCTTTTCCTCATTTCAAGCTATAAAACTCGATCTTCTCTCGAATTATTACTATTTGTGGACGCCCTCGGCTCGAGTTCAGGGCGTTCCGAGCTGAACAAGGGCGTCAAAAGACGGCAATACGCCCCCTGGTGGAAACGCTGCCCTATATGTATTATCAGACCACATTTTCACAGTCTTCTTTTTTGACCTCTCCTCTCCTTTCATTCTCACCTGCTCGCCCTCCTGCAGGACGAATGATGAGCTGGTGTCGTTCCTCTCGCAGCAAAGAGACAAGAACTTCCTCAAGTCCCACGGGAGAGAAAACGCCCGGTGAGTTTGCCAGATGTTAAGAAGCAGACCAGCGCAAACACACATTAGGTTGACGATTTGTATCTTAATTTAATAAGCTGCAATAAAGGGAAAGGGATAGCTTGGATTTAATGTCAGAAATGTGCAGTAACTCGGAGGCAAATGATGCTTGGGGGGGGGAGCAATTAAACGTAATGCTGTTGATATCAAACAAGAGGCAAAAAGCAGCATGACAAAGTGATTCTTCAGCCGTTATTTATTACACCGTGGACAGAAATGGTTATTTTAATCGTGTACTTTGATGAATGCTGCAAAGAGCTCTCAAACGCATCAATTCAAGCTGTGCTTCTGTCTTTAAGGTTTATTAAGAAGCAGGGCCTGAACCGCCTCTTCCATGAGTGTGACAACCACATGTGGCGTCTGGGCGAGCGCAGCATCCCAGAAGGCCTGAAGGTCTCCGGCGGATCTGATTGGTTCGCGCTCACCCGCCGCTTCGTGGAGTACGTCATCAACTCCCAGGATGCCTTGGTGTCAGGGCTGAAGCAGTTCTATACCTACGCTCTGCTTCCCGCTGAGGTAAGTCGGCCTCAGGTGGTGTGTTTATCTCCGGAGACGAGACAGTCTGATACACAAGTCTGTCTCACACTCCCCCGTCAATTCCGCCGCGGAGATAATGTAATACTTTAAGCTCTCAGAGAAGGGTTCACTTGAGTTTATCTGACTGTCTCAGAGGAGGAGCAGCGGTTTGTTGTGTGGGGTTAGAGAGGCGTGACCTTTTTCACTTTAGACTCAGTGGATATAAACGGTTTGTTCTCTCCCCAGTCCTTCTTCCACACGGTGCTGGGGAACAGCCACATGTGCGACACCCTGGTGGACAACAACCTGCGCGTCACCAACTGGAACCGCAAGCTGGGCTGCAAATGTCAGTACAAACACATCGTGGACTGGTGCGGCTGCTCGCCCAACGACTTCAAGCCTCAAGACCTCATCAGGATCCAGGTGAGAGGGACGGCTGCGGAACAACAGCTCATCTATTTCTGTCTTCGGGTTTTTTTGACGTAGCTTGTCGTTTCCCAGTGTCATGTATTTATCAGCCCCACTTTGATGTTCACCATTGGCCTGTACTAAATAATAATATTGGTTATATTTTGGACGTTTGAATTCCTAATCTGAATGCAGCGTCTTTTTTAATCTTTTTAAACCCGATATTTCTGGACAAAGATTTGGATATACTAATATAATTACTGTTATACTATTTGTAGAATTAATTTTCCACTGGTTGCTCCCTATTAGTGGGCACAGGCAGGCATGTGACAAAGCAGCTTACCCATTAAGTTATTAATAACTAATAGAAACTGTAATGTTGTTGATAATCTTCCACCATTGCTTTCCCTCAATCAAACACACCCACATAGCTAACGCCATGCTGGTAGTCCTTTATAATAATAATAATAAGTTTATTTAGTATAGCCCCTTTCACAGAAATACAATTCACAAAGTGCTTCGCAAGAAAGAACAAAAGTTAAAATTAAGACCACAGAAACATGAATACAATAACAACATGTGTGTAATATCGTTAAATAACGTTAATCTAGTTTGAACTCTTGAGGTTTTAAAAGTGGATTTTTCGAAGCTCCATTCAAACACCTTAATAGAAGCTTTGAATGTAAATATTGACTGGAGTTCCAGTAATCCAAAATTCGATTCACAGGTAGCAAATAAGCATGACTCGGACAAGATACGTCTCAGGATAGTTTGTTTGACTCTTTACTTAGACAAAAGGTATCAAATACAAACACATATTTTCTCAGGTCAAAAACGATGTTGCTCTGTGCTTCTTTCTCCTTCTCACACACACCAATCACCAGCAGCTGCCGTCGGCTATAACGTCTCGTAATCACAAACGGCTGCGGTCGTCTATGCCGTCAATTTCACACGGCTGGTTCAAATAAATGATCTAATAGCACTAACAACAAAGGATTATAATATTCAAATATATCAAACTATACATTTTAACATATGGCTCCTACATTGACATTTGCCACAGCCTCAAAGACTTCTTTCTGTTATTCTTTGCTTTCGTCCACAGCAACTGACCCGTCCGACGTTCTTCGCCCGCAAGTTTGAGTCCTCTGTGAACCAGGAGGTCATCGACATCCTGGACACGCACCTGTACGGCCAGTACGCTCCGGGCACCACGGCGCTGAAGGCGTACTGGGAGAGTCTGTTTGAGACGGAGGACGGCCTGGCCGCGCTCAGCGACGCAGCGCTCACCGCGCACACGGCTTTCTTTCGTCTCGGCCTGAGGAACCTGCTGACCCCTCAGAGCACCGTGGACGTCTGCAGGTCCGTCTCTGTTTTATGTCTTGACTTAAAGGTCCCCTATTGTACTGTTTTTCATCAATATATTATAGGTTTCAGATATATACAAAACATGTCTCTGAAGCTCCAAACACCAAACAGATCATTGCAGCATTACCCATAATCCCCTCTGTTTCAGCCCTGTTTCAAAAGTGCTGATTCTGTTACTTTAGATGAAAATAAGGAGCCCCTCCCCACGCCCCTCTGAGAGATATTTGGTTAGAAAAAACACAAAGGTGCTCTAGGAGGAGATTCAGGTGATAAGGTGGGGGGGGGGGTTACCTTGGTTGGTGATTGGCTAATGGTTGCACAAGCTAAAAAATAGTTATGACATCATAAAGTGGCCAAAATCTGATCAGCTCATTTTCAGACAGGTTTTTATAGAAATGGAACAGGACAAAAAGAGAGGGGGTCTTTTTTCCTTAGACTTTCATAGTCTCTTTCCACAGAGGGGACACATGTTGATGTATAAAGGACATGAACAAGTTTATTTTGCATAATAGGTCCCCTTTAATCAATAATCTCTTATGTGTGATTTCTCTTTCCTCTCTCTGCAGGTTTGAACCAGTCGGCTACCCTCTGTCAGTACACGTGTACTTCTATGACGACCGTTTCCAAGGATACCTGATTCGTCAGGAGGTCCAGGCCGCGGGGTCAAAGGTCAGAGAGACGCTGGAGATGTGGGCGGTGCCTCAAGCAACGCTCGTCCTGCAGTCAAACCTGAAGGAGTTTGAAAGGCTCAAGAATCTGGAGGTCAGTGGTATTCTTGTCTGAAAAAAGATCTTCATTATCAGTAAAGGTTATGTCTTTTAATATCAAGGGAGAAGAAGAAAGAAAAAGAAAACTGCTTTACAGGAAGATTCTCTTGCCGATATGAACCAATTAGGGTGCTTTGTCAGGGCTTGATGTGACCAAAACTGGACTTTGAAGCTTAATTAAAATATGTTCATTTTGGGGAGACTAGTTTAGAACATATCCTCTCTCCTTGTCTTCTGATCAAATATGAAAGTCAAAGACTTAGGAGACATTGTTTTGCTGTATGTCATAGGGCTGCTCAATTAATCGTATTTGAATCGCAATCACGATTTTGACTTGCAACGATTATCAAAACGACATAAAACGATTATCTATTTTTAAATTTTTTGGGGTTTTTCAGTTTAATTATACTTAAAGTTCAGGGTAATCAACTGTTAAAAACATACTGTTCAAATAAAAAATTTCAATAAATGGATGTTTTCAAAGTAAATGGATAATCGTTTTTAATAATCGTGATATCAATTATTGACCCAAATAATCGAGATTATGATTTTTGCCATAATCGAGCAGCCCTAGTGTGTCACATGACCTGTTTTCATTTGAGGGCTTATTCACAGATACGTTCCGTCTTCCCTCCCTGCAGATCGGCACAGAGTGGGATCCTAAAGAGAGAATCTTCCGTAACTTTGGCGGCCTCATCGGGCCTCTGAGCGAGCCGCTGGCGGTGCAGAAGTGGGCGCGGGGTCCCAACCTCACGGCCACCATCGTGTGGATCGACCCGGCTCAGGTGGTGGCAGCGTCCTATGACATCACGGTGGATGTGGATGCAGAATACACGCAGTACAAGCCCCCGCTGCAGCGCCCCCTGCGGCCCGGTACCTGGTCTGTGCGCGTGTTGAAGCAGTGGGAGCTCGTGGCCGAGGTCAGCTTCCTCGTCATGCCGCTGACCTTCAAAGACAAGGAGCCGCTGCGCAAAGGTGAGGCGATGATTCCACATTATGTCAGTTTAAAGGATTAAAGCTGCTGTCGCTGTTTTAGACGTTTCTTTATATTAGACAATCCCTATAAAAGACCCTAACAAACAATGCATTAGCCCCTAAAAACATGCAGACATCGTGACTCTACTGCAGGGGTGTCAAACTCAAATACACAGTGGGCCAAAATAAGAAAAATGGGTACTAGTCGAGGGCCGGACTGGTTCAATGTTTATTGCAAAACGTATTGAAATTAACTTATTGCACAGATTAAACCTGGAACTAACAAAGCTTAAATGATTGCCTATAAAAACAACATTAAATAATCAGGTGCATTAATTTCTTATGGCTCTATCTGCAGCTTTTCTGGAGTCATTTCTCATGATTACATTTTCCCACAGGCCAACAACAGCTTCAAAAAAACTATTTCCCTCAAAGAGAAAACCAAACATGCCCTGCTGTCGTGAGAGAAAGTGCAGAAGCAAACATCCATTAAACTCAGTGTGCTGCTCTGTGAAGCTAGTTCAGATACTTGGCATCTCATCTTGGGTGCAAGGTCATCAATGTTTGGGCTCAGGCTCTGAGCTGAGGAAACCCTCAGGATTGAGTGAAGGTGTGCGTGCAATATACCGGCGGGCCAGATCTAATAGTAATTAGAAATTATCCTGCGGGCCGAAATTAAATCCACCACGGGCCGGATTTGGCCCCCGGGCCATGAGTTTGACACATGTGCTCTTTTTTTAAATGTTAACAAAATGGGTCACAAATACATCATTTAGATTTAAAAATCAGCGGCACACAGCAGTTTAGGATTTTCAGAAAATATGTTGGTATTTCCCTGTTATATAAAAAAAAACCTTCTGGGAGTTATTAAGTCTACTACAAGAGAACTAAGTTTGATTAACTCTTTAGCAGGGGGTCCGCGGGGTCTTAAAAAGTATTAAAAGTTGATAAATAAATGTAGTGAAAATGAAGGCTATTAAAAAGTATTAAATGGCATTTTCCAAGGTATTACATTTTGTAGCTTGTTTTCAATAAGTATATAAATGTTCCAAAGAGGTTGTATTCTACAGTGTGCCTGAATGTAATCATTGCGTAGGTGTGTAGTGTGATTCTGTGTAGTTTATTTATGGCATCCCGTTGGATGTGACGTCATCTGAACAGGACATCGCACGCTCACTGCTTGATAGCGCGAAGGTCCGTTTACGCCGGTTGTTAAACAACATCGTTATGGGGAAATGCAAGTTTGCGTCCAAATGGTTGGAAGATAAGGAGGAAGGACAATCAATACTGTATATAGTGAATGTGAGGTAAAGTGTGTCGCCAAGGTAACCGGTTAAAACTCCAAGTGTCTTAAAATGTATGGAAAGGGTCTTAAAAAAGGTCTTAATAGGTATTACATTTGACTTCAGGATTCCTGCATATACCCTGTTTAACATAAAGTAACCAAATAACTCATATGATAAGGACCAGTGGACCCATGACTTTGTCAAGTTAACCTACAAAACCACCTGCAAAGCTCGACCGTGAGACATTACGTCACAGTTTCTGTTTAGGCGTTAGACCCCCAAATGTAAGTTTAAAATCTAAACTTATTTTGAAAGTTCCATTGAATCTATTAAATGTATGTGCCCATTTTTAATTTCTCTTTGTCTCCGAATCCTCTCCAGAAGAGGACAGCTGGCTCCACGCAGGCCCCCCAGGCGACCTGTACCTGGAGCAGAGCTTCCAGCAGCTGAGCTCCGTGCTGAAGCTGCCCCCCCGAGAGGCGGCGGCCCAGGAGGCGCAGCGCAGAGCCCAGCTGGTGGGGCGGCCCCTCCAAGCCTGGGTGGACAGCAGCATCAAAAACTTCTGGGTCACGGGCGGTCTCTGCGCCCCACAGACTTCCTCCTGCCCCGCGGTGGGACTCTGCTCCAAAACCTCCTGGAGCTCCATGTCTCCGGACCCCAAGTCTGAACTGTGCCCGGTGAAAAGTGACGGGAGGATCAGGTAGCGCCCGCAGAGGAGAGACTGTGGACTGAAACTCAAACACAGGCACATACACAGACGACTCCCTGCACTGAGGACCCTCTCAGTGACGGGCTGATAGGAAAGTGACTGCGGGAAATTTGCACATTTCACAGGACTCGTGTGGTTGTTGGTTGAATGGTTATGTTTTAATGGCACACAGTTTGTCAGTCGGGGTCGGAAAGAAATCCTCTGCGCATGTTTAATAGGGAACTCAACAACCTCTTCGTTTCAAAGGGGAATGAAACCTTTTATGCTTATTTATTTTAAAGCATTCATGTGTGAGGCAGATGAAGTGCACTTTACTGTAAGACTGTAATGTTACACAGAGGTCGCTTGGTTACAGCACGAGGAGTCCGATAAGATCCGATCACTTTTATTTAACAGGAGACCCCTGTAGATACCCGAGACCCCCCCCCCCCCCCACCTGCACAGACACATCACGAAATGACCTGAATAAGTCAACGATAAGGAAAGAGCTAGTAGTGGGATTTTATTAATGTGACATATCATTTTTTAACATGTTATTTTTTGTATGTATGTTAGTTTATTTCATCTGGCAGTAAAGTGTTGAGTTGTCTTTGATGCCCGTTGTTGCAAGAAAAAGCCACTCTATTTTTTTTTACATCTGCATCATCAAGGCCGCAGAGAGCCAGGTACAAAACATGAGCGACAGATCTACGAGAAACTCCAGCTATTGGGTCTTAAGATGTTGTGTTAAATGTGGTATTTTAAGTTTATTATTGTGTCATTTTTGGCTCCAGATTTCTTTTAAACTCAATCCAACTTAGCAAGGGGACGAACAATGTATTCAAGTTATAATTAATAGTGTTGATGCCCAGAGTTTTATGAGGAGATTGGGTCAAATGTTCTTAAATAATAGTCGGCCACCATATGAGTTTTCAAGTGACCTTGTTTACCTTGCACAGTACCGTTGCTTCAGTGAAGCCTCAGATGTATGGACATAAAGAGAGCACATGTTATTTTTCTATACTGTTTTGAGTGTGTGTTGTCCGTTCATCTCCAGTGCTCTGTTAAACTATTAAAAACTGCTGTCTAATAATGTTGTACTGACAGTCCCAGATCCTCAGTGTCGTTGGAGCAGACTTTGTGTTATTTAGGAGGATAACGGTCTCTGAGTGCGGCGGTGACTCAGTCTGACGCTGTTCGCCTCGAGAAGAGCTCAAAGACATCCGACTGATGACTCAATCAAAACATCTACGCTTTTTCTTGATTTATCATTTTTCATTGGGATGGTAATTCTTGATGTTTTTTTAATTCCAGATGGACTACATTAACCCTTAGATGCACGAGTGACTGGACCCTACACTCTTCCATAAGTGGGTCAAAAAGGACCCGTATTAGAATAATGTGTTTTTATGCCATTTTTGTCATTTTGGTTAAGAAAAATCACTTGTATAATTTGTAGTATTATATTTTGGTTCACACTAGAAATATTTTATATTTACTTTTTCACTATTTATAATTTTAGACATTTTCTTTACATTTTGAAGAGAAAAAAAAGTCATAGGAAATGCATGCGGGTCATTTTTGACCCTCTTATGGAAGCTTGGGGTAGTAATACAAAAACTACAATTTCTTAAAATTAAAATTTAAAATTTGAATGGCATGATATCCAAAACATGTTTTTTGAGGAATAGCTGGAATATGAAATGATAAAATGTTTTAATTACAAAGATACTTCAAGAAAACCACCTCACCGGGTCAAAAAAGACCCACCATTTATTTTTCTTAACTGTCATCACTTGGGTTTATGAGGTTTCTCATTAAAGACATTAAAGCATAACATTTTATTTTTTTAATGCACTCCTCAATTTTAAGGCATTTGGTTTTCATCGTCCAGGTTTGTTTTCAGATTACTTGAAAGAAAACATCCTTAATTCACATTCAGGGGTTTATTTTGCTTCACTTTGGTTAAGATTTCTCCTAAATGTACAAAAGGTTATCAATAGATTTAGCCTTATTTGCTAATTAATTATAACATTTAACAAAACTTTTAAACCACAAAAATGTTGTCCTAATAGTGTAACTAATCAATGGGGGACATTTGGTATATATTTGTTACTTTTTTCATTTTAATCACTTAACAAATGTCGAATTTAAAAAATCCAACATGTATGGTATTTTTTATTCAAATTGAGTCATTAGCCAAATCTCACATTTTGAACCCGTCTTTATTTAAAGTTCAGTTTTCTGTTCCGAAACATATTCACATATTTGATAATGTCTCATTTCCTGGTGGTATTTATTCATGACATGTTTTGCTACTCACCTGTAGTGCTTCCATTAAAGCAGGTGGAGGTGATGTCAGGAGAAGAAGAGCTCTCCAGGGTGCTGAACACTTCCTTGTTTTCCACTTCATAAATACTGTAAACTAGCTCTGATGTTTCTGATCACATCAATATTTAGTCCTGTTTGTGTCTGTTCAGGATGCACATGCAGAGAAGGAGGGGCGGAGGACACGTAGCAAAGGAAGTTTGAATGTTTATTTTATTTGCAGAAGCTCATCTGTTTTGACCAGGTTAAACCACAGAACAAACAAGATGGATGACGGCTGTGAAACTCAGCAGCAGGAGGAGAGGACGCTGGTGTCTTCGGACAGCGCTTACGGGTCGTCTGCAGTGGACACGGACACAGAGGACGGACAGACCCCCACATCCAACCCCTTCCCCTATAATGAAGACCTGACACACAAGGTAATCAATCATTGCTTCTAGTAATCATGAGGAGAATGTGTCAAATCTGAAATTGAAACGGGGATTAAATTAACAAAAAAGGTAGAAAACCGAGTGGAAATTATTATCTAGCAATTTAACAATATTTTTAAAGTGTGCTCCCTCTGCACATACATTAAAAAACACTGCCAGCTTGTCAAAAAAAACGTCTTCAGGATAACTGGATACTTACTGTAGCTGTGTTAATATACTCCAGCAGAATCAACATGTTTTAATATGGAGTGCTCCATATCATGGCGGCTACAATGAGTGCCATAATATCATATAATAAGTGTTCATAATGAAATAGATATAATAATTAAAAATGATGAATCAATAATTGTCTCTATTACCGACAATTTGGTAAATAAATCAAGAAATGATCAAAGAAAAAATAATTTGACGGCATTTGTTTTGACAATATGACTTATTTGTACGCTTCAAGACCCTCAATAACTCAGCCGTTCAATATTTGCCAAGTAGGCAGAGCATTGTCTGTGAGGCCAGAACAAACTCCTTCTTGCTCAGCAAACACATTTCTGATTATATTTGTTGTTTTGCCGAGTCACCGCCTGCCAGAAACTACAGAGCATACAGATGGCTGGACTCTTTGCAAGCTAGAATAGGCCAATTGGATCTCCAGAACACTTTAAAGTACTTTTAGAAACTGTAACAAAAAGCTGTTTTAGCGAGATATTTCTTTACTCTTTGGTTAACATTAATGTACTGTATAATCCAAAATCTTGTCAGACCGGCTCGTGTTCAGACGTAGAAAAAGAGGAAGAAACGTTGCAAACATGGGAGGATTTGGTTTTATTGAGTTTCTTTTGAGTGTAATAATTGTTCTTAATGTGAAGGCTGAGTTCAGCGTTTAAAGAAAAAGCTGCTGAATGGTTTAGGAAGCATGAAAAAAACCGTTTCCTGTACTCTCTTACTGTTTCTCTCCGAATACACGCTTATTCAAATAATAAGTTGTTGGAGCTAAATGCATATATTTGAAAGAAAAGGTCACAGTATAAGAGCTATCGGCCGTAGAGATGTGTGCCTTCTCTCAAATGTAATCAAACCAGACGGCACCCGTGTTGTGGTTCTTAAAAAAGCCACACATTTTTTTTTAAATTCCAACAGCATTGCCTCTTTCCAAAATGCATGACCCGCTTACTCAAGATAATCCCAAAGCTTGTTGTGAGCAGCTTCTTGGAGGAACAACTCCCTTCAGTCGGTGGATTATGGAGTAAACGGGTCATGAGTTCTGGAAAGAGACATTCCTGTGTTAGAATATTCATCTGAGAGAAGGTAGACATCTCTAAAGCCAATACCTCCAACACTCAAGCAAACACATTAAAGGGGCCCTATAATGCTTGTTTGGGTTTTCCCTTTCCTGTAGTGCCTTATATGTTTTAGTGCATGTAAACGGTCTGCAAAGGCTAAAATCATTGGACTACTTTGTTTACACCATGTAACACTTGCCCTTCTATTGGTTAGCGCTCCAACACATTGTACGTGATAAGCTAAGGGGCGGGACAATCTCTAAGCGGTTGACCAACCGCAACAGAGCCGGCCAGCTAACCAATCAGAGCAAACTGGGCTCTGGTTTCAGACGCAGGGTGAAAAGAGGTTCTGCAGCACAGGCAGTATGAGGAAACAATAAAGCATGGAGACATGTCCCAGTAGAAGCACTAAATACTAACCTGAAAGTGAGCAGAATATGGCCCCCTTCAACTCATTTTGTATGATCAATGCCACTCAAATACACTCAAACAACTTGTCGAAATGTCATGTTGCCATGGAGACATGTTCAGCATCTCTACTCCTGCAATAAGGCCCTGTACAAAGTGAACCCCCCCCCCACTGTCACCTCCATCATCACTCGGTGCATCCACACAGTCCCACATGTGCTTCCTGGAGATAAAGGCCCCCTCACTCCTGCTTTGTTCTCCGACAGTTTGTCCTGAGAACGATTACATGCCAGTATTACAAATTAATGAGGGGACGCATTAAATAGTCAAATGTTGATTTCATGCTGGCCAGCTTAACACTGCACAACACGCTGTGAGTCATGCACACATAGTGCATCATGAGGACTTAAGGGCCCGGTTTGTGCAAACTCACACTGTGGGAAATAAACATGTCTGTGAATGCCTTTAATTCAGAAGAGCAACAATATAATCCTATATTATTTATAAACACTACTGTATGCTTTGTCTGAAACGTCATTGTCTGTTTGCTGGATTTCTGAAGCTTATATCTGTATTTTCAGCATTAAGAATATTGTTTTACTCATCGTTTAAAATACATCTTCAAAGAGAGCAAACCCTCTCCTTAAAGCCGCAGAGAGCCTTTGATTTTCTTCTTGTTTATCTGCTCAAACTGTCACCATTCTGCGTTTTTAATGGAATAGCAGAGTCGAATGTGCCCAACTGGTGGATGTCGGTGATTAGAGTGTGCGTTTCAGAGCGCTGCGTGTGATGCTGCGCTGCATGGGGGCTCTTTGAGAGCGCAGATAAGAGGCAGCGGGGTCGAGAAGGAGGAGCAGGAGGATGGGTGGGGGGGGGGGTGATAAATGTCAACAAGGAGGCAAGCGTCTGCTGCTGAGGAGCTCCGGGCTGGACGCCTGCACCGCGGCACCCGAGGAGGCGATAACCATGGCGACAAGCAGGCCGATTGATGCCCACGTCCAGAGCTTTGGTGGCAAGTCGCAGCACATCCCTGCGGGGGAGACGCATGACCCCCGGACATGAGAACTGTGTCATATCGTGTGTGTGTGTGTGTGTGTGTGTGTGTGTGTGTGTGTGTGTGTGTGTGTGTGTGTGTGTGTGTGTGTGTGTGTGTGTGTGTGTGTGTGTGTGTGTGTGTGTGTGTGTGTGTGTCCTATTGTGACATGTTGACATTCTTTAATGTTCAAAAAGGTTTACATTTGTTCTTATTTAGAGAGATGTATTGGCAGGAATGTAATAGTATGATCAGTACTACTTTCTTCTGTTCTATAATCACCCGAAACAAAGCATTGTTTTATTTTTGTTAGCGTAATGTGTACAAGTGAAGGGCAAGGTAAAGAGAGATAGCGGTATGAATAAAAGCAGCCTTCTTTGATACAGTTACACAGTATTGGACACACACACACACAGATTTCTACTGTGTATCTTTCTTTGCAGAGATGAAACAATAGGTTGTTTGAAGCGAATGTTTTCAACCTTCTGTATCCCTCCAATCAGGGCACAACACTCACTAGCAAGTGAAGTAGGGGTTGTTTGAGGAGACGATGGTGTTGCACTTGCCAGAGTGATGCATTGTCTTCTTCCCAGTTCAGTGCTCCACGGTGCCCTTCCCTTCTTGGAGGCATCAGACATC